GTTTTCCCAGCATGCCCACAAACAGCTTCCTGTCTTCTAAGGGGAAGGAGAATGCCAAGACGGGAGGAGAAAAAACAGGATCATGTGTGGGTAATTTGAGTGAGATTACGGAGGGCAAAAAGCAGGAGTAGATATTTTATGGGAGAGGAGATACAGGCAAGTGAAAAAGGTGAAAAAAAAGGGAGAAGTGCCACGTCACTGTACATGCATGAATAACAGGGAACAACAACAGTGTGATAAGCAGCTAGAAAAGCAGGATGGACGTCAGCCTGCAATGCTTGAGAGCGCCACCAGAGTGCAGTAACATGAACATCACAACAAACAAACAGCATCTGGCGGTGACTCAAATGTTTGTCACCCTGTGTGTTGTCAGAGAAGCTGCTCCGTCTGTCCCCGTCTGTGAAGGATCAGACCAGTGTTTCTGCATGTTTTAGCCCATTCACTACTAATCACATTACATTCCTGCAGACTGTTCTCCAAAGATTTATACATTATAACCTTTATTCTATATATAACAGGCTGCTACTTCCTTCCCCTTCACTTTAGTATGGTATGAAAGTCAGCTGTCGAGAGACTTACAGCTTGAGATGCAGTGTCACAGTGAACTTATCGTTGGCTTTATTGTTTTGTTACATTTATTTTCACATGCTGCGACTGAAAATGTGGTTTTGCCTGTGTGGCGTGCTTGGATTTGAGAGCTGGGTGCCAAAATACACTGAATTCACAAGCTGGCGTTTCAAAATATCAAACAAACGAAAAGTACAATTTGATCCTTTGTTGTATAAAAAGCTGTGGTATGACAGCTGACATGTAAGAGCTTCGACTGCGATTGATTTTTACCTATCAGGCAAATTTAAAGTGTCTGCAAACTCACTGTCAAACAATACTGAAATTAAAAGAAACGATACTGTAGTATGTTCTGCAAAAAATGGTCAACAACAAAATATATTACACGTGTGTTGTGGTAAAAGTGCAAAAACATGATTCTTTAGGTGTCTGACAATGAGCTAAAATAAAAATGTGAACTCAAAATGTTGAAAAGGAACAGATTATTATATATAATAAAATATATAATATAATATTTTGACTTGTCATAATAGGAAAAGCATAAGTGTTACATATGACATTCACAATGGCTCTTTTCTATTCAGTGTGACAGTGAGTCAACATGAACTACACCAGGAACCTCGAACTGTGACAATGTCTCCTGTGAAAAAGGCCTATTAGATACTTTATGTATCTCAAGCTTTAAGTTCTCAAATTGATGGTTAAATCTTATTAAAACAGCAGCTGCCATAAAACTATGGTATGATTTGGCAAATGAGCAACAGTAATGTCACATACAAAACATACATACAAAACATACAAGAACGTGATGCTTTAAATCTGTGGGAAACAGCTTTTATGCTTATAAATGTTGAAAAGTGGGTGAAAACAAACTAATAAAGTGACTGATTAGATGTTAGAGAAGAGGGATCTCAAGTGTGTAAATCCCGCAGTTGAAGCATGCAGCTTTTAGGTGTGGTTTGACAGCAACAAAACATCCATTTTAACAGATAATTTATTCTAATTCTGAATCCTGAATTGTAGTTTTGTTGAAACAATTATCTGCTGGAGAGATGATTCAATCTTGAATATTTTCTATGCAAATTAAAGTTGCAATATGTCTTAAACATCAACTGGTATTGTCTTGGATTTGGTTGTGTCATGTAAAGACTTTACATTTCACTTGTTGCAAGAAAAACAAGTGTTGAAGTGTGGACACAAGACTAAATCACTTGTCGAGACGGACATTTTTGGCTGTGTACTTTGTGAAGGTGTTGTTTGAACAGGTGCTGTGTTTTCTGGGTGGGGACAGGTGTCTCTTACCCCCTCTGCTCTCGCTGTCTGCCGGCTTCACTTGGATTGGACGGTTCATCTGGAAAAGACCACATGGCACGGTCAGTTTAAATACAGGACAGGGTTGTCGAAGTGAAAAAACAGGACAAATAAATAAAAAATGTGGCAACTAATGTCTTGTAAAATTGCAAAATATACGTATTGACTTAATGTAACTCATCTGGAAATGCTAATATGACGTAATGGTGACATATGCGTTCATGTATGGATGTTAGTGAATTTGGCCAGTGCTCCAACCTCCTACTAATTTCTCTCCTTTTTTCTATTTTTGCCAACTGTACTCCAGCAGACCACGGCTGACACCGATATGTGTGATATTACATTTACAGTGTCTTACAGTCTCTCTCTCTCTCTCTCTCTCTCTCTCCACCTCCTCTCTTAGAGTCTCTCTCAGAATCTGCTCTAATCCTGCCGTCTACCGTTCCTTCTCCCCCCCCCTATCACACAAAACCAGGAAAAGCACACACCCACGCGGGATTGGGGAAGTGATAAGATTAAGCACACTCGCCGGCTAATCTGGATTACAGGAGCACGCAGCATCAGAATAGTGAGAGATTCTGTGCCTGACAGAGAGACGGTGACGAGGGTATACAGGGTTAGGAAGGAAGGAATGATATCTGGAAAAAAAACCTAAGAATAAAAGAATGATAAAGGAAAAAGAGAGCACACACAACACAGAGAAGGATTAGGCGACCTTTTCATAATTCATCAAAAGACAAGCTGCTGAAATGCCATTTTCTTTCCTTTGCTTCTCCACAATCATTGTCCTCCCCACTGTTTAACAAAACCCCTATATGAAATTATGCACACTGGTGCCTCGGCGCCTCGCCTTTCAAATGTATAGAGCACGAGAACTGTGAAAGGAGGTATTGAATCAAATGAAGAAAAGGAACGAACAAGAGAGGGCAAATGGGAGAAGGGTGGGATTGAGAGGGATTGAGAGGAAGGAAAGGAGCATATGGAGGAAAGGATGGAGGGTGGGGGGATGTGTGTGTCCGTGAAGTGAGGAGGAGGAGGGAGGGCGATGTCGGTGAGGAGTCGAGGTGAGAGCAACAGAGTGACACTCTGTTAACTGTGGCTTAATGAAGGTCTTAATTATGGAGCTGGTGACATTTCAGCCAGTCACTGATCCCGTGTCACTGATTGATCCGCTGTGATCGGTCACCAGGAGACACTATTGATTGGTGCTGCAGTTGCGTCCTGCTGCCGGGACCCGCATGCACAAACACCGTCCTTGTCCACGTCGCCACCGTACCCCGAAACCTGCCGGCTGAAATACCACCAGCACCTGCTGCAAAGGGCCCCTGCGTCTCCTCACTCAGAGCGTCAAACTGATTGCACCAATTAATAGGATGATAGAGTGAATAGAAGGGCAAAGTCTCAAAACCATCTTCCCATCAGTCAAGCAAATGTGGGCGACTTCTCCTGCAGTTGTTGAATAGTAATTTTTGTGTAAATTATAGTTTCACCCTTGAATAAAATTAGATTTAACATGTTTTTGTTGCAGGGAAATAAAAAAAAAAACATCATTGCGACTGGACCCAAACGCCCCAAAAAGTTCATGTACTTGTGGTGTTAAAAGGTGCTTTGAATAAAATTCACTCAACAAATATCACTCATGTTACTGTAGAACGGTCCATTCATTGTCTCTTGACCATTGTTCACCACTCTACCAATCGCTGCTCATGCTACTTGTACACTTACAGTACGAGTGCAACAACTATAACCTCTGCAGAATGCCATATTATCTACTACTATTATATATACCCTATGCCTCGCTGTCCATTGTACAGTACGCTTTGCTTCATCCTTAGTCTTCATTTACACTCTTTATTCTAAATGTTGGATTTCAGAAGTCATAGTCCCCCATTCCGTGTTTGTGTTTTTTAAGATTAAGATCTTTTTTTTTAATCTAATATGATTAATTAGTGCACCTTTATTCACAGTCTTCTGGCTCTTTTATCTCTCATTCAAATAAAATCATAACGCCCTCTGAGCTTTTTTTATCCACTTAATTTGAAAGTGCATTCCATATTTTATGAAAATGTTTTTGAGGGGTTGAAATGAAAGTATTTTCAAAGATAAAATGCTTCAAAAACGTAATTGGAGGAAAGAGAGGGCAGCTTTACACAAATAAAATCATAGCTGATGGCTGAGGATACATTTTCTTTTACTGATCAGATTATTGCAGTCCGTCTGACAACAAGACCTTGGACCAGTGGTTGCTTGTGGCTCTGTGTGGATGGTTTAGACATAGAGAGCAATTTACACAGACACATTCTTTCTATGATTCTAGGTTTTCTATGATCTATAATTCATCAACAACAGAGCCAGACTCAGGATGAGATTAGATCTTTTCTAATGTAAAGATAAAACATAATCCCTCATGAAAATATCTTGTGTAATCTTAGAGTTGAGTTAAGGAATCAAAGCTGATGCTACTACCCCACAGCAGTAGTTTAATGTGACATCTTTGATTGATAACACGTTTGAATGACGCCTGTAAAACATCCCATGGCCCATATTTCAGCAGGACAAACAGTAAAGGCCGTGGCGGTGGCGGTGGCGATAAGAAGAAGCGCAGCAGATGGCTCAGGAGATTGGAATTAGAATATACAAGAGGGAAAACAGTGAGAAGTGGAGGCCATCAAGGCTGTGCCACTTCATATCGGCACGGCAACCGGCCCCGCTGCTCTGACGAAAGACCGTGCTCGCATGGCCATCGTCATGGCAACCCCGGCGATGAGACCCCCACATCAGGTAAACAAGGTTGCCCTGAACGACGTGCGGAAGAGAAAGGGTTGAAAAACAAATGGGGAGGACAAAGGGTGCTTCTAGGTCGAGAGATAGAGGGATTAGGTGTGTGAGGGAGGAGGAGGAAGGCGGAGAAAGGAGAGGAAAAATGAAAGACACCAGACAAATAAAAAAAAAAGGATGATGGAGGGAGCATTCGTGCCTGTTGCATGTTGGCTCTGCCTCGAGAGCAGATGCAGAAGCAGAGAGAAAAATATCTCCCTCTAAGCCTCAACCACTAACGTACACACTTTACAGTAATTTGCTCTCTCCCCTCCTCCTCCTGTTGCTCCCCTCCCCTCCCTCTCCTTTTCTCTCTTAGGCTTGTTTACAAAAACAGTCCCATCCTGTGCACAGACAACACACAGGCAAAACCTGCCCGATCAACAGCCCATTTTACCACTGTGTTTTTTGCTATTTGTTTTTTCTTTCTTCTTCTTCCCCCTGCGCTCCATCTCCAAACACACAGCGCCGATATTATATACAATCATCCTCAGAATAAACTCACATTCATTGTCTCCCCCCCCCTCACACACACGCACACACACGCACACACACGCTGCCCCTGTCGGTCACACTGACATGAGCACACATCTACACATACTTAATCTTTTTCGCTCTGTGATGCCGAGGGGGATTTCACTAGGATTATGAGATATTAAATCCATAGATTATCCAATCAAATCACAGCTCGACCCCTTTCGCCATAAGGCATAACACACACCCATAAACATCAACGTCCACACACACACTGAGGAGTGGCACCCATGCAAATGCATTTTCATCCACTACAACCATGTGTTTTAGACAGAGGATCGTTTACAGTCGCAGTGAGTAAAAACGTATCAATGATGACATTTTTCTCATTTTCATATTACGGCCCGCAGAGCGGATGATAATCTCTACACTCTCAGCACGACGTAGCGAGTGTTGTTAAGTCTATATAGGTGCTGCTGTGTGAGGGTGACACATTTCCGTCGCCTGTTTTCTCTCCAATTTCAATCCATTCTGCCTGTCTGCCCTGAAAAGCAGCCACTCTGAATGGTAAATATATCAGCAGAGACCATCTCCCCTGGTCTTTCAAGAACATTTACAGCGGGGAGGCAGCGTTGTGGGGGT